GCGCACTGGGTCACTGGATTGGGCCAACTTTGAACAGCAGCAAGGCCATTCAACAATTCACCCGGTGTCACTGTCCGATGCAGGCGTTGCCTCTTCTGACGCTGCATGGCCGATGCACGCGCTGTGTGAACTATGGAACTGAAATGCTGCAGTAGCGGTGGCAGGAGGGTAGAGCGTGAAACACACAATGAACGCAAAGTACGAGCATTCTTCGTTGCATTCGCGCTGGTTCCCTAGATGCCATGGTTCTGAATGGCTAGGGTGTATGCAAGCGTGCGCAGACGTCCCAATGCCCCTGCGCTGTCGGAGTCTTGTTCACATGTGTTCACAAACTCCAGCCATTGCTCAACAAACACATGCAAGGAACACCCCAAGACCAAGACGATGCAACAAAGTAGAGGTTGCACTGTTTCGGATTGGAAAGGACGGTTTCAGAATCCCATCGGCATCGTTACTGCCACCACCATCACCACCGTCGCCCCCGCAACGGCGTTTCAGATCCGTTTGCATGCAAACGGTGCCTGCTGCAGCTCGAAAATCAAATCAAACAACCGTAAACCCACAGCCATACTTGCCAGCAACTTCAAACACGATGCCGGACATCTCAGGCACGAGCCTCTGCCACGTCAGCGAATGCAGCTGCAGCCATGGAAGGGGCCTACGGCCTGTGAAACGATCGGAGACGAAACCAGGTTTTGTAAGAAGTGTTTGTGGGCAGTTTGCTCGGGGCGTTCGCCTTTCAGTTCGCCTGGGAGGCTTGCCAAACTTGGACCAGAAAGAACGAACGTCACGCTGTGCAAAGAAGGGTCTTCGGGTCTGTGGAGAAGGCTTCTGCGCTCTTTTTCGCTTGGAGGGGACTGGGATGTAGGGAATGCAGTGGGGGCTGGAGGGGCAAGCGGAGAATCATCTGGGCTGCAGGCCGGTGAGAACCCAAACCATACACCCTGAGGAGTACAAACCCTGAAACTCACATCCAACAGAACTTGTCCTCCTTCCACTCGGAGTTCAACTCGTTCCTCGCGCTGAAAAAGCTCCTACTCCCCAAAGACCCCCAAGGGCCATTATTCAGGCTTCTACAGTAGTTCCCACTACAAAGGTCAGAGCCGTCAGTACACCCGGCAGTACAGCGGCCTTCAGAACGAGACTATATATATATATATATATATATGTGTATCTATATGTACGAATAAGGAGACCTCAAAGGCTAGGTTCCGTAGGGTCCATTTTTGGGGTATGTATATATATATATATATATATATACACATAGTCCGCGGTACTTAGAGACCGCAAGCAGTTCCGCAAGAAACATCGCACCTCCGGGAGTCGATTCCCGGGCCGATTCGTCCTCGGCCGGGCTTCGGTTTCGAATCGACGTTTCAAAGAAGGCCGCTCTGATTGGTAGGCTTGCACTCTGATGAGTAGATTTGAATCTTCGCACGACTTGCGCTTAAAACGATGATTGCAATTTCGATAGTGCTTAGGATTCTGTTAAGTAGACATTACCCTAGTGTCATGAGCACTGCTTTGAGTGTTTGTTTATGGTTTGTGAGATGGCTACGACTAGGCTGAACAACCTCTGAGACACAAGTGGGCTTTGCTTGAATCCTTTCACGGTTCCCGTTAGGGCAGTTACAAAGTTTAGATTTTACCTTATTTGTTTCGTGGTTCCCTTACGGGCTGATACTATGCGATTTAGGACGTATAAGGTTTTGGTTGGTTCCTTCTAGGGTTCCCGTCAGGCTTGAGAAAGGGGCCTGCATGTATCAATGTGTCAGGCTTCCTTTCTGGGCTTTGCCGGGTTCGAAACGCGGTGGCCCTACGCGTCAAACATGGTGCTTCGGCATCATCGGCCGTCCTTGCGGGCTGAGACTATAGCGCAAGTCTTCCTACGGGATTTCGGACTGCAGGGTGGAGATGTAAGTCTCCTTGGACCTGTCTCTTGCAGAGTTCCCGAGCCGGGGTGATCCTACTGTCTGGGTATCAGGGCGCTCTGTCTTTAGGCCTGGTTCCCATGCCTCAGAAGGCCGAGGTGATGGAGTGTGGTGGAGGTTTCGGACTAGCTTGCAACACCGAAAGCCACAAATACACAGTACTGGGGTGCTTGGGCCTCAAGGGTGGGGTCTAGACCAGAAAGCAGCACCATAGACTTTAATGTTCCATGCTGTTTAGACGATGAACCTGACAGCCGTGCGTCAAGGGAAGGAGCATTTACCACCGAGCACGGACCATCATAGTGAACCATGCTCTGGACGACAAAATGTTGCACAATCCGCAAGGGATAGATCATGAAGTAGGGTCGCAATCATTCGCCACGCTAATTCTCTATCGCGCGTTTTAATCGAAAGAGTGCCGGGCCTCCGAAGCGATTGTTGTAGTGCTTGAAGCGTGCACAGAGCCGCAGTTCATGGGGCCGTAGAGATGATAAATCCTCAACGGACCATCTGTGCTCCGAAGCGTCCCACTAAAGCATGCCGCTCATTGTCAGGATTAGGGCGCTGGGGGGAACGTTTGATGTCCGTGCAGGGCTGAAGGCTTGTGGACATCGCGGCTGAGACACTGAACTCCTGACATCTGCCCGATCCCCGAATCCCAGACTGTTCGGAGAAGTGAGTCTCTGTCAACCTACACCCCAATTCCTGAACACAGAAACCTGAGCCCCCGCAGCCCTGGCGCCTGTCTCAGCCTCGACACCGGTTTCCCCAGGCGCGATGTAGGGTTTAGGGTTTAGGGTTTAGGGTAGAGAAGGGAGTTGATCAAACCTTTGGCGCCGCCAGTCTGAGGCCCTGGCCACGAGGTATTGACAGATGTCCGGGCTGATGCCTCGGGGCCTCGGGTTCTGTTTAGGGATTAGAGTTTAGGGTTCAGGGTGTAGGGTTTAGGGTTTAGGGGAAAAACAGGGATGGCTTAAAGGAAGGTTTGCTTTGGGCCTTGCTTTGAGAAAAACAACAGCAATCGTCGTCATTCTGCGGAGAGTCCATTCTTTGAGTTCGTATCGTGGGCAAGCTTGGGGTCTGGGCGCTCGGATTTGGGGGCATTTGCCGATGGCCCACTTTGAGGTATGGCAGTCTGCCGTTGAAACAAATGCGGCCCCAGGCACTTCGGGCGATCAAATTGTGCGCCACCTCCCAAGACACAATCAAGAATTTGTAATACTCGTACTACTAGCATCATGGCCTAAATTGTCCACTGTTGCAAGGATCTCTGGCACAGATATGACTAGAAGTACCGGTCTCCTCACTATTGCTGATACGATTGCTCTGACCTCCAGTCTGCATGGAGAAACAGCCCCAAAATGATCCAAAATTATTTTCAGACAAGGTCCAGCCAACAACAAGAAACCTCTCAACTACCAAATTGACATTTCCCGAAGACAGGTTTCACCAGCACTGTAACTGAAGCTTAAGGCCAGTTGCCACGGAAAAGGGCCTGTACATCGAACAGAGGCTACATGATCTTCATGACGCTTCAGTGGGCCTGCCAACGGCAGTTGCAAGTCACCCTCCCCCACTTCATCAGAAACATCTGCGCCCCCCTGGGCAGAGCAAGCTGCCATGCTGCATTGGGCGCTGTTTGTGCAACACACAAGATGCTCGGGATCGTAGTGTTGGTACAGGCCTGGCACATCTCCGTCAAGCCGCTCACCGCCGTGCACACAGACTCGCGCAAGCCACATAAACTGTCGCCTGAGCATGGGTTGCATGGACAAGTCCTTCCTCTCAGACTTTGCAGTGTCGTCAGCTTGGGCCCGAGCGCAGGCCACTCCAAACTCGCAGAGCTTCAGCTGCTACGGTCTCCCCTGCCTGCTAGTAGGAACAATCGCAATAATACGTAGAATGATACCAAAAGTATAGGTCCCTCACCCCGCAAGAAGAACCCGCCGTGCAGCTTTTAAACGTATATTCAAAGGCTGGAAGGATGTCCAAAGTGCTCAGGCTTCCACATTGCTACTGCTATTACCATCATGCTCGTATTCTTATTCCTACCTGTCCGTTCGGATGATAGGTGGACCTCGGTCGGATCGGCAGCGCGGGCGCCATGCTGACTGCCTAGAGTGCTAGATCCTGGGCCCCCCCTGTAAATAGAACGACCTTTCTTGGGAGGACCTCCCATATGCACTTTGCTGCATGGTTGCATCATGCTACGACATCCTTGCACTTGTCAGAACGTATTGGTTGGTGCTTGGGCCATTGACTCCACATCGTTGTCAGCTGCCAATCGGAATAGACAACACAGAGAAGCCTTGAAGACACACATAGCTGCCACCAAAAATTCGAACGTGTCTACTTCGACGGCCAGACAACCGACACAGCTCCAGCACCAGCAGCGCTAGAGTGCCACAGATACACCACCACTGGAAAATCAGCCCAACTGTGACAATATACTCCTGCTTTTTTTGCAAGCGCAGGGCCCTTGGGTAAGGTCCCGTCTGCTCCGACCTTTCCGGGGCGCTCCTGGGTTTTACAGCTTGGCGTATTACCCACTGCAACCCAAAGTGCTCTGTTTCTGGCAACATCGCATACTCGGCGATACAAATGAGTGTTGTCCATCCATAACATGGAGCGCGAGGCATGCTCTTGTCTGATCTCTGTAGCCTGTAGCCGTAGGTATAACGAAGAATTCATGATCTATTAGGGAACGCGGTGGGGCTGTGTCCGACTGGAGGTAATCTATTCGGCGGGAGGCTTCCACAAGGCAGGGTTCAGCCCAATGGGGCCTTGGGCGACCTACTCTAGTGAACTCCAGTGGGGCCGCGAGTGTGAGAGGGCATGAAAGTGGCCTGGGTCTCCATTGATTCAGGGTGTCTGTACAAATGTGTGGAAGCACAAATCGTGCTCCGATCTTTTGCTCCGAAAGGGCTTCTCTCAGTCCGCAATTCTTGCCGCTGCATGCTTTGCAATGGCACTGTACTCTGAACACAAGTGGGGCAGCAAACTCGTTTGGCATGATTTACACGCCTCCTGCGAAGCATCGCCAGCATAGGGTGCTTCGCACTCTAAAAATCATCGCTCCCCACGGCTGTACTCCCAGTGGTACTGGAAGCAATGTTTGCATGGCACTCGGCCACTTTGCAAAGCCCTTTGGACTGTCATTCTGGAGGTCCTGGGGGCGCACTTCAAATCTCCACAGCCTTCCTTGTGGTAGGCGTACCCGTGGCTAGAGACCCACACCATTTCGTGGAATTCTCTGTCGGGGAGAAAATGCTGCACATCTCTTAGAAACTTTCCCCTCTCACGGGCCTGCTCGACCTTGCCAGCGGATCTAGTAGAAGAGCTCGATGCCACAGGCAGCGCTACAGCTGCCGCCGCAGAGGAGCCTCCCGAGGACGTGGCTCCCGTAGGCCGTGCCTCTCTTGACTGGCTCGCCGCAGCCTGCTCAAGCCCTGTGCCAGTCGTGATGCCCAACATTGGCAGGGCATTCTCCTCCATCCAGCTCCGGATTCCCGCCGCCCAAGTCCCCCGATCGTGCCCATGGGCTCAGTGGGCGCGTTCTGGCTGTGGTTGTTGTTGGTGTTCCCGCTCGGGCCCTCCTGGTTGATCGTCGCCTGGGTGTCGTGCCCGGTCGCCTCCTGGATGCTGTGCTCCGTCGCCTCCTGGTTTTGTGCTCGGTCGCCTCCTGGTTGTTGTGCTCCGTCGCCTCCTGGCTGTTGTGTTCGGCGTCCTCCTGGTCGCTGTGCTCCGTCGCTTCCTGGTTGCTGTGTTCGGTCGGCCTTGGGCTTCCACGCTTGCCCTTTCCTCTGCCTTTGCAGCTGGCCGCTCGTCCGGCCAGATGGCCGCCATCGGGCAACGAGGTTGTAGAGCGACGGCCCATCCACCAAGCCAGGGCCAGCACCCCCACAAACCAAAAGTAGCGCACCACGACCACAATGACCAGGTAGATCAATGAAGCGAGGTCCTCAAAGAGCTCGTGGGGGCCAGCTGGCCCGAACTCACACCCTTGAAGGGTAGTTGCAGCCAACAGCTGCACCAGCCGTACCACCACGTCATTGTTCCGATCTCCTTGCGCCACTCGGCGCGCCGTCGCCTCCCGGAACTCATTCTGGCCAACGTGCTCCCCGTTGTCGTGTACCAGGCCCACCAGGTAGCATAGCATAGAAGGCGCAGCCGCTTTGCCGTGAAGCACTTCGTCCCGAGGTCGGCGGGGTTGAACTCCGTCGGGACCGGAAGCACCTTGAGAAGGTGCTGTGCCACCCAGTGTTGGATCCACAAGCAGGAGGTCTGAAGGTGCCTCACTCTCCCGACACCAAGCCTTGAGGCTATTGCCCGTGCCACCGAAGAGTCGGACCTCATGCTCAGGGTGGCCTCCGGCTGCACCAAAAACTTCCAGGCCTTCTTGACTAAGATGCATTCAGAGGTGGTCTGCGTCAGCGCCACCAACTCGGCTTCCCCGCTGCTCAGCGTCACCACCTTTTGCCCACGGACAAACGAGTACGTGAGGGCTTGGCTTATGAAGATCTGGCCCGATGACAGGCTCCGCCGGGTTGTTCGGTCATTCGCGAAGTTGCTGTCCGAAAAGCTGGTTGTGGTCTCCTCCTCCTGGGCTTCCTTGGTGGTCGCCTGTCAGCTGCATCACGGACTGGCCTGGGTGCAGCTCTAGCTTTATGCCATACCCCTGCGAGCCCACCAGGTGCTGCAAGAGCTTGGCCGCTCTCTCGGTCGGTGCCGACGCCTTCCCCGAGAGGCACTGTATGGCTGCCTGGCAGTCCGAGCAAAGTCCGGTAGAGGGTCGGCTCGCCGCCTCGGTGTTGTCGAGGTCGAACATGTCCTTGGGTCCCGGTGTGCTCCTTCTCTTGGGTCGGCCGGAAACGCGTAGCCGCCCCTATCGTGATCGAGCCGTCGGGCTCGAACTGGTGGCGTCGCCGAAGGAACTCGTACATGTCCCCCGGCAGCTGGAAGGGCCCATTGACCTTCACCTGGCACTTGCTCTCCAGGGTCTTCTGGATCGTCGTCGATATGGATCTGGGCCGCGTAGTTCCCGCCGTTGCCCTGAACAGTGTGCGCACCTCCTCCATGCTCTCCAGGTCACGTTGCCGCCCGAACTTGGCCGTGTAGGACCTTGGGGAGGTAACAGGTAACAAGGACGGGCTCGTCGGCCGGCTGCTCCACCTGGAGGAACGCGTCCTTGATGTCCATCACCCACACAGGCGGGCTCGTCGGCTGGTGTTTTTGGAACCCCCTGATGCCCATGATATTTTATACATGCTCTTGATGCAGAGCTGCGTGTTTGAAGTATTAATTAACTTCTTCTGCGAACTAACTGTTTCTATCTATGCTACTCAGTACAGAAGCACATCACATGATGCACACGTACGTGTTGTGCTGTGCGTTTGAAGAGTAGCTGTAGGTGTAGGTGAAGGGCACTGGCCCGAAACAAGAACGAAGTCAAGACCTCGTAAAAAGAAAGCGAAGAGGCTACGGGGCAGCCATGTAAAGGGCTAGTGCAAGGAGTTTCACGACACGTTCGCATGCATGTTTTTGCAGTTGACATATGCTTGTCTCAAAGATGCCAAGCATGTCGGAGAAGCCATTTACACGACGAAACCGCGAATGGCTCAAGTACGAGAAAAGGCCGTGGGCCGAGTGAGGGGTTTTTGGTTCGTTGAGGGTTTGTTCAGGGTGTCCTGTCGGTTCAGGTGCGCAGCTTGTGCAGTGCTCTTGTAAACACCTTCGGTAAACCCCAAAAACCCTTAAAAAGCCTAAGCACGTGCGGACGACTGCAGTCTAGCAAGATCACGACATTGCAGAGTTCCTTCAGTGCGGCGGACTAAGATCACGACATTGCAGAGTTACTTCAGTGCACGGGAGCACTGGCAGAGATTTTGGTTGTAGTGATTTTTAGGTCGTTTGGTTACCCTAGTGTTTTTCCCGATCCCGGTTTAGGAGGTCCTTATCGTACCATAAAAGGCTCAAACGTCAAGTCGGTGACAGTGGTCACGACTCAGAGCTCAGGGACTTCAGATTCCGATGGAGCTATCGCCGGTTCCTACGCATTATTCTGTAGTCACCGATGGGAGCCATCATGGAAGCCCATATCAACAACAGGTTATGACTGCCCAAGCTACCCAAGAGAATAGCAGTTCGCCAGGTACTTATCATGCCACCATGAATGTGCAAACTCTTCAGAGGATGCAGGTCGAGATTCCACTTGAGGTCTTGCGTAGCTTCCAGCAAGCAACTGCTTTTGATCAGGCAGCGCTGTCTGACTTGAGTGCCGCTGTGCAGGAGCTGCGTGATCGACTCCAGTACCGCACTGGACTTTTGGGATCCGCCGTTGAAAATGTTCATAGTGGGTATCAGAGGGTACTTGATGAATTGCAAACCATGAGTGGTGCCGTGGACGCACAGCATCGCGTGATCCAAGCGTTGATTCGAAGCCGTGATGAAATGCATGAGCAGATCGAATCAGTGAAAAGTGACCTTCAGGGCAGAGTGGATCTTCTTGAACGTGCACAGATGGGTACTAAGCAATGGCAGGCCCAGGTTGAGGCGCATATCTTGAAGATAGACAACACTTTGCATATGATGACCGAGCGCCAACAACGATCGGATGCAAGGTCCGAGGCAATGTATCAGGCGTTCAGCGATCCGCCGGCTGATGCCGCTTCTTCCAGTGCTAATGCTCGTATCGCAGTGCTTGAGAAGGAGTTGTCGGAGTTGCATAACAAACATGAGCAATTGCTGAATCATGTGGAGCGTCTTCGTGTAGACGATCCTCCAGAGCCGCCAGCAGCAGCATGGCCCACGTGGACTTGGCCGGAGTATCAGGGTATGCATTGGCCTACGTTCGAAGTCCCCCCAGGTTTGAATAGTAACGCTCAGTTCTTCAACATAGGTTCTCCTGGAACTTTTGAGGGAAATCAACAGGGCGTGGAAGCTGATTTTGACTTGTGGGGCGATGCATGCTATGCTGAGCAGGCAGCTGGAATGGCTGCCAACCAAGGAGCTGCAATGGCTGGGACACAGACCGCAGGAGGAGCAGGTGCAATCCCGAGTGCAACGGCACCTGAAGTGCCTGCTGCGCCTGCTACCAATCAGTCTGTTCCGGTGGTGCAAACCACAAATGCGAAGCAAGATCCTGATGATCTTGATCTCATCCCAAATGAGAGGTGGAAATGCCTGCTTGAGGTTCCGGGTTTTGATCCTAAAGACGGCGCGGGTTCGCCATGGGAGCTAGGCCTGAGATTTGATGTGTGGAAAAAACAATTCCTTACATTGGCCTCAAATGTTCATCCCAGGTTTGCGGACTTCGTATCCTTGTGTTTCAAAAAGGCGCAAGAACGACATGATGTGCAGGCCGAGGGACGACAGGCACCGCCGCTTGAACCAGTTTTGGGTTTCCCAGCGATGTTCGAATCGAGACTTGTGATGGTGTTACTTCGGGTGTTACCTGACAGCATCAAGACGCCAGCACTTGAATCAGACGAGGGAGGCCAGAAGATCGCATCAATGAGACTGCTTGAAGAATTGTACTTGTGCGTCAGACCAGGAGGCTTGGAGGAACAGCAAACTTTGGTCCGATTCTTGCGGCAGGTGAATCCGGTAGCAACAGCTCGCGAGGCCATAGAACTGTTGCGTCGATGGAGGCTCGCCAAGAATAGGATTGCTTCGTTGTCTCTTCCTGAAGTGCCGGCGTATGAGCAAATTAGCGGTATTCAGAAGATGCTTAGAAACTTAGAGAGGAAGCATGATAGCCTTAGGACCCGACTTTCTTTGATTCGCATCCACCCTGATGTGCAGTTGGCTCGCCCGCAAGGGGTGATGATGGTCCTGGAGACCGTGGAACAGGAACTTCGGCAAATTGCTGCCGATGAAATGGCTAGGGATAATGCCGGTGATAATTCCAACCATCCTAGCGATAACCAGGCTAAGGGAGCTGATCAGAAGGGTAAGGATAAGGGAAAGGGCAAGGGAGATGGTAAGGGCAAGCAAGATGAGTCTAAGTCCACCCCTAATCCCAAGGGCAACCCTAAGGGCAATCAGAAAAATGAAAAACCAGACGCGCAACCCAAGCGAAAGTGCATCTTTCATGGCAGAAAATCAGGCTGTCGACATGGAGATAAGTGCGCATACCTTCATGAGGGCCCTTCCGGTGCTGCCAGTGAGAAACCGCAAGGTAATCAGGCTCTCCTTGGAGCCGAGGCCCAGAAGGTTAATGCAAAAGGTGCTCCAAAGGCCAAGGCAAAGCAGTCTGCTAAGGCAGCATCTTCAGTGGTGATGTCGTCGTTTGCTGGCATGCTTAAGTCAGGACCCACAGAGAGCAGTCCATTTCCGCATCGCCAGATTCCAGAGTGGCCACTGTGGATGTGTGAGCTGACTGAAGAGCAATATCACTTATAGCAAAGTTAAAAGTCAGCAATATATTTCTCATCTTCAAATATATTCGCGAATCAAATATCTTTGCGTGTTCCATATATAGGAAATTGCAAAAGCGAAAGAGTGAGATGTCGCTTCTTTTTATCAGCGCGAGCTGAAGCACGGGAGGTAAAAGTATGTGGCACGAGCAACCACGAGTGTGAACCGACTCCGAGTCGGCACGAGCAGAGCACAACGACTGAGAGTCGTAGATGCTTACCTCCCCCCCGGAACAACGATCTCAGGGTATGGGAGGGTGGGACAAAAATTTTCCTTTCGGCTCTCTGAGAGCCGCGATGCTGCACACACACGAATAGATTGTGCAACAAGCAGGAAAATTTTCCAATGGTTGAAACATGAAAACTTGCTCGTTGAAACAACTGTAAACATTTGATTGAAAAATTGCTGACTTAGCGAAAACAAAGAGTTTTCGCAAATTAACTTCAGCTATAAAGCTTTGTCGTACAAGTACGAAAGCTTGCTTATAGCAAAGTTAAAAGTCAGCAATATATTTCTCATCTTCAAATATATTCGCGAATCAAATATCTTTGCGTATTCCATATATAGGAAATTGCAAAAGCGAAAGAGTGAGATGTCGCTTCTTTTTATCAGCGCGAGCTGAAGCACGGGAGGTAAAAGTATGTGGCACGAGCAACCACGAGTGTGAACCGACTCCGAGTCGGCACGAGCAGAGCACAACGACTGAGAGTCGTAGATGCTTACCTCCCATGCACCTCATCTATGACTCGACGTCAGCGAGGGGAGTGCCTGAAACGAAGCATGCAGGACGATCCCTGGAATACGGCTCCAAGTAGGTCATCTCGGACCATTTTGCCCTCGAAGGGGCATCCGCCAAGTTGCTGTGGCTGGGGACTCGCATGAACCACGAGAGACATGGTCCGGGCTCATCGGCAGCCTCAAAGTGTAACAAGAGTTCTCGCCAGTAAGGGTCAGTGGCAGACCCCGAGACGCATGCCCCCAGCACACCAGAATGGTCAATAAAGAAAAGTGTCCTCTTATTTGCAAGGTACTGCGACCATAGCGACCGAGCAAGGACTACAGCGAAAAGCTCTGTTTGCCCAATAAGGTGCCTCTTTTCAGAGGACCATTTGGACACAAGATCATCATTGACCTTACAGCCGAAAGTACGCACCTGTGGGTGTCGGCCCCGCACAATCAAAACTCCCCCGACTGTGGCCAAGTGACCTCCGCCTGCGGTTGGCTCGCATGCGCCGTCAGTGAAGACAAGGACAGGAGGCTCACCCGGGGAAGCCGAAAGAGACCTAGGGGCACCCCTAAGGAGCCTAGCCCTAAGAACCTTAAAAGCTTGCAGCTGGTCATCTCTCAGATCCACGAACTCCGACCTGCTGTGCTCAAGTTTGCGAACGTCCGCGACTGCCAGTCGCCCAGTTCTGCCGAGGATCTGGGCCTCAGCAAACTGGAGTCTGCCAAAGAGAGTCGGCAGAGTTCTGACCTCAACACGACCTGAAGAAATGATGCTGCCTAAAGCCTCGGAGAGCGTAGCAGCTCGATCCGGCTTATTACCGATCTTTACACTCGCAAGCGAATCATCGGAGGTATCCACAAGAACTCCAAGCATTTCTGTTACGGTGGCAAAAGGTTTCTCTTTGGGCTTTGCCATCTGAAATTGCAGGAGATCCATCAGCGAGTGAACAACGTGATCAGTCGACTGAGAGAGTAAAGTGGGGGCTGCAGCAGGATAATCGTCAAAGTAGCAGCTGGTCAGGACAAGGAGTTCCCACAGAAGCCTTTGGAGGAAG